ACTAATGGTGTGTGCCACTGCTGCCCAGCTGGTACCTGGATATTTTAAGCCAGTCCTCCTTTCAGAAGGAAGCTGTGAAGCAGAAGTGGCTCAGCAGTGCCCAGCAGTCACCCACAATGTCAACCTGAGCTCAGCCCTGCCACCAGGGGCGCTGAAAGAGAAGACCAAGAAGCTGGAGTTTAAGGAGCTTGTCACACGACCCTGACGCAAAAGTTTGAGAACCAGTTTTAAACCAAGAACCATAGTTTGGATGTCGAAGCTCCCCTCCCCCCAAAGGTCCACGTGCAAAGGTTCACAAGTGAAAGATGTGGTCCCTGTGGTGGGCCTTTTGAGATGTGGTGGATCTTTAGAAGGAGCCCTGTGGGAAGTTTTTAGGTCACTGGGAGGAATATTCTCTTTCTCCATCTTTGTCTCTCTCCCTTTCTCTCTCTCCCTCCCTCCCTCCCTCTCTTTCCCTTTCCTCTTCTTCCTACTTCCCACCCTCTGGTGCTTACATGCTTCCTGGCTATGAGGCATACCCCGTTTGCCCAAGGCCCGCAGCAATGGGCCCACTTGATGTTGGACTAGAATCTCCAAATCCATTAGCAGAAATAAACCTCTTCATGAGACTTTTAAATAAGTTGTCTGTCTCCGGTATCTGGTATCTCGTAACAACAGAAAGCTGACCCGTACATTCATGCTTCCAACGCTTTGATATGCAGAGGCGTCATGGGGAGATCCTGTAAGAATCTGGCTCAATGGCTGTACTGAAAGCGTGCTAATCTGGGACTGGATTCTTCAGTACCCAGCCACCTGTTCTCCAGTTGGTCAGGGCTGTGCACAGATGAAGGTTCAAAGGGAAGCGTCTCCCTGAGAATTGCCTTCAGCGGAAATGAACTGTCTTGCACAAGATCGTGCCATGGCTTACCGTGAACCCCTGGTCAAACTAACAATAAATATTGACTCCAAGAGATTGTGGTGTAATTGATAAGATTTTTAACGGGGCATGGGAGGGGGACACTCAGATGTTAAGAGTGATTACCCAGCATGCACTGGGTTTGATTCTGAGGGCTTGGATGAATGCCGAGTGGATCAACTGGAAGAGTGTTTGAGAGTTTCAAGGGAAATTATATTTCTATAATGATTTGGGAATTGGATGGCTGCTTCCTCTGGCTTTCTTTTAAATTTAATTTAATTTTTAATTACGTGTATATGTGTGTGGTGTGCATGGGAGTGTCAGTGCCTGCAGGGGCCAGAGGTGTTGGAATTTCTGGAGCAGAAGTTACAGGCAGTTGTGAGTTACCTGACTTGGTTGCTGAGAACCGAGTTCGCATCTTCCAGAAGAGCAGGAAGTGCTCTTAACCACTGAGCCAGCTGTCCAGCCCCTCCCCCTGGCTTTTGGTGCAGTTGAAAAAGAACAGGAGGGCTAACAATTAGCAAGCACCTACACAAAGTGGAGTGTGGGGACAGAGGCTCCTCCGCAGCAAATACTGTCCTCACTCGCAGTGGTTCGAGGAGCCGGACCTCACTATACTGCAGCAGCTCTCCAATGCAGGCTGTGCGCTGGCACATCAGGACTCTGACTAGGAAGATATGGAGCCCTGAGACCTGGGACAGGGACATCCGGATCACTGAACTCAAGATCTCCTGGATCAATGTGCTTGAAGAAGGAGGCCACTCCTGGAAACACCAACCATCTCTTCACAAAAACCACAGGAGGGTTCCACCTTGCAGGGCAGCTCACACTCTCTCTAAGGTCACCTCTTCTTGGGCTGCAGGGACAGTAAGTAGGGTCTAGGCACACCAAAATCCTGAGTGGACCCACTGGACCTGTGAGGTGGGGGGGGGGGAGGAAAGGAACCAGAACTAAAGAGGCTGTAGGACTTATCTAGAATGTTCGAGAACAAGCCAGTCTGAGCGACCAAGACTTCATTCTGCCTGACAAAGTAACAGTGGTAGCTTATTTTAACTGTGTGTGACAGAATCAGAGGGGTGGAAGGGTGGGTAGCTAAGGGTTTAGGGAACAAGGGACTCCACTTGGAAATGTTAATAGTCCCCTAGAGAGAGAAGAAAAAATTCGTGGTGGACTGTTAATAGTGACAGGTGTGTTCGTCTTAATCATGTGTGTGTGTGCATGTGAGTATGTGTGCATGTGAGTGTGTGTGTGCATGTGAGTGTGTGTGCATGTGAGTGTGTGTGAGTGTGTGTGAATGTATGTGTGAGAGTGTGTATGTGTGTGTGCATGTGAATGTGTGTGAATGTATGTGTGTGTGAGTATGTATGTGTGTGTATGTGTGTGCATGTGAGTGTGTTTGAATGTATGTGTGTGTGAGTATTTATGTGTGTGTATGTGTATGCATGTGAGTATGTGTGAATGTATGTGTGTGTGAGTGTGTGTGTGAGTGTGTGCATGTGAGTATGTGTGAATGTATGTGTGTGTGAGTGTGTATGTGTGTGCATGTGAGTGTGTATGTGTGTGTGCATGTGAGTGTGTGAATGTATGTGTGTGTGAGTATGTGTGTGAGTGTGTGTGAATATATGTGCGTGTGAGTGTATATGTGTGTGTGTGCATGTGAGTGTGTACATGTGAGTGTGTGTGTGTGTGTGTGTGTGTGTAAGGGCTGCATGGAGGCCAGAGGAGGCTGTCACTTGTTCTGCTCCATTAGTCATTTTTTCTTATCCCCTTGAGAATAGATTTCTCTCTCATCGAACCTGAAGCGAGGCCAGCAACCAGCAAGCCCAGAGCCTTCTGTGTCTTCCTCACAGTGTTGGGGTGAAGGGAACACACCAGGCTGCATTTCACTTTTCTTCCTGAGTGGGGAATCTGAACTCAGACTCTCAAGCTGGTACAGACACTCTCCCCCATAAGCCATCTCACCAACACCTAACTAAAAAACAAGAACGAAACAAAGAAAGGAAGGAAGAAGAAAAGGAAGGAAGGAAAGAAGGAAGGAAGGAAGGAAGAAAGAAAGAAAGGAAGAAGTTGTGAAGACACATGAAAAGAGGCAAACTGGGGCCTGGTGAGATGGCTCATTGGATAAAGACACTTGACACCAAGCCTGATTAACTGAATTCAATCCCCAGGACTCATGGTAGGAGGAGAAAACTGACTCTTACACATGGTTCTCTGATCTGCACATCAGGCACAAAATGGCCTTACAATAAATAAATGTAATTTTAAAAACCCAATTTGCTAATGATACTGTAAATTAAAAATAAAATACTTTGCCAAAATAATATATTCTTTCTCCTAATTGTGCCATGATTGGGTTGGACTTCAATGCTCAGCCATTCTCCTCAGAGCCTTTATGTGTCCAAGAGCAAGAAAATTACTCACTCCCACACTCTGCCCCTCCCACTGCCATTACCCCAGGATGAAGGGCTGCTCTTGTCATGTTCAAAGAGAAGGATCTGCCTCCTCTCAGAGGCCATCAGGGCGGCAGATGAGATGCGAGCACATGTCACCATAATCTCAATGCTTACTCTGCTATACACAAAGAAAATCTGTTTTGATATTACGTGTGTAACTTAAAATATCATCAGGGGAAACAAAGCATGAATGTCCACTTTACACTTTTATCCTTTATCTCTTAAGCACCCTCCTGGCTTTCTCTCAGCCTTGAATGGAATATGCTCTCCTCAAACTCCTCATGCGCACTGTCTCATATGTACATCTAAGATTCCAGTGGAGACGTTGGAATGTTCTTCATAATATTATGCCACCAAGCCTCTGTTCTGACCTGCCTGAGGTGTTCTACTTCAGGTGGGAGCTCCTCTGCCTCTTGATATTTTGAGAGAGGGTTTATTTGTAGCCCAGGCTGTCCTCAAATTTACCAGCCTCTTGTCTCAGCCTTCCATGTGTTAGGACTATAAGAATCCACCACACACAACTTAATTTTTGCTTCTTATTCCGTCTTCCCGTCCTCACAGCTGACGAGGCAGCTAGCTCCTTCTGGTCCTCTCCTGGTTTCACGGAACAAACAGCTTCTGAGGGCAGACAGCACTTTGAACAGCACCCTCTTTGCTCAGTGTCTGGCTCTTCGATCAAATCACCATGTTGGTGGCCAGTGGTCTTCCAGACTCAAGTTACAAAGCCCCATTTTACCAGTGATATCTCAAAAATGGTCCAGCATCTCTGGCAGAATAAATGCTATCTATAAACCTTAACCTGCAAACATGATTTCAAAATGAAATTGGATAGTATATTTTTAAGAATCACAATTCACTGAAAGGAGAACAAAGGGGCCAAATTTAGGCTTAGATTTGATAAAAGGAAGAACATTAAAAAATATAGATCAGATGTTGGACAGGTTAATAGAGATTGCCTTCCTTGAAAAAAAAATCTTTAAAAATAGAACCACCGGGCTATAGCTCAGCATCAGGGAACTGCATGTGCAAGGACCTGGTTTGATTCCCAGGGCTTGGGGAAAACGAATAAACAGTCATTCATCTTGAATCATTTGGCCACAGACCAGCTTGGAAACACTCTCTGAGGAAGGTACATTTCTGAAACTCCCCCTGCCGACCCTTGCTTGCCTCTCCCCTCTGTCTGTATCCCAGGGCATCAGGGCATGGCAGGGATATCAAAGTAGGTGGGGGAGGCAGAGGATGTTAGCAGCACGTGGGATTATTTTGTCACCGAAACGGAGAAGAAATGGCTGCATTGCTGTCAGTCCACCAACTGAGCAGTTAATGAAAGCAGGTGGCATAATACAGTCCTCCGGCTCTTTCTAGAATCTTGATGAATCAGAAAGTTACCCCACCCCCAAAGAGACACAGCAAAGCTGTGATTCCAATCTGAAGATGATTCTGATCAGGGCACAACAAAGATGTCTCTCTTCTCCCTCCTACGGCATGTCCAATGCGTATTCAAAGTCTGAAACACTCAGCAGTTTCAGAAAGTGAACCGCCATTGGGAATCTATGGGGATATACATACTGGCACAAATGTCATGATTGCATAAACGGACCTGGCTCCACTTCTCTCCAGTCTGATTTCTTTAAAAATAAATATTTATTTTAGTGCTGGCTTTGGCAGCACGTATACTAAAATTGGAATAATACAGAAAAGATTAGTGTAGCCCTGCACAGGGTTGACATGCACATTTGTGAAGTGTTCTACAGTTTCATATGAGCATGTAGCAACAATTAATGAAAAAGGAGGCCATGAATTTGAAAAGGCAAGGAGAGGCATGTGGGAAGGGGGTGGGGGACGAAGGAGAGAGAGCTGGGGAATGATGTAAGATTATCATCTGAAAGCATAAGAAATTTAAAAAAACATACTTATTTTATTATGTGTGTTTATGTGTGTGCATATGTGTGTGTGCATGTGTGTGCGTGTGTGTGTGAGTGTGTGAAAGAGAGGGAGAAAGAGAGAGAGAGGCAGAGAGAGAGAGAGAGAGAGAGAGAGGGAGAGAGAGAGAGAGAGAGAGAGAACAGAACATGTGGGTGCAGGCACCCACTGAGGCCATAAGGGGGCTCTGTATCTCTTCGAGCTGGAGTTAAGGCATCTTTGAGTCACGTGATGTGGGTGTTGCCATCAGAACTCTGGTTCTCTGATAGAGCAGTGAGCACTCTTAACTGCTGAGCTATCTTTTCAGCCTCTCATATTTATTTATTTATTTATTTATTTATTTATTTATTTATTTATTTATTGGTTTTTCGAGACAGGGTTTCTCCGTGTATCCCTGGCTGTCCTGGAACTCACTCTGTAGACCAGGCTGGCCTCGAACTCTCGAACTCAGAAATCCGCCTGTCTCTGCCTCCCAAGTGCTGGGATTAAAGGTGTGCGCCACCACCGCCCGGCTTTTTTTTTTTTTTTCTTTCTTTGACAGAGTCTCTTTATGTAACTGCCTTGGCTGTCCTGGAACCCACTTTGCAGACCAGCCTGGTCTCGAACTCACAGAGCTCTGCCTGCCTCTGCTTCCCAAGTGCCTGCCTCTGCTTCCAGGCATGCACACATCTGGCTGACTACTGTCTAAGCCTTCTTTGCTGCTAATTCGTCATCCCTCTGACCCACACACATATTACCCAGTCTCAGGAGAGCTCCCGTGTTTGGATTTCTTGTTCCCAAAAAAGTCATTCTCTGCTATTGCAACCACTTCCCAGGTACTGAGCGCTCACCGAGAGTATGGCTTTTCCCACAAAGGATGCACCAGTAATGACAGACATACTGAAAACCTAGCACCACAATACTGCAGCCGAAGAAATCCAGTTGAGAGGCAAGGAGAACAGAAAAATAGCAACATCGCGGAGCTGCAGAGTTCTCGATCTGGGGCAGAGGAAGTCCCCCCAGCTCCATCCCCAGATTCATTGCAAATTTTCTTTTTCTTTGGTTTTAAGGCGGGTCTTGCTATGTAGCTCTGGCTGTCTTGGAACTCACTAGGAAACCAAGCTGTACTTTTAAAAATAAATAACCTTTTTTTTTTTTAAAGGAATTTTGTTTTTGTTTTTCGAGACAGGGTTTCTCTGTGTAGTCCTGGCTGTCCTGGAACTCACTCTGTAGACCAGGCTGGTCTCGAACTCAGAAATCCACCTGCCTCTGCCTCCCAAGTGCTGGGATTAAAGGCGTGCTCCACCACCGCCCGGCTTTTAAAGGAATTTGAAATAAAGTTGATAAAGTAATTAATGCCACTGTGATGATATGCACATTTTGCACACTTAGACTCTGTTCATGAGGATTAAAGCCCTTAAATTGTATTTAACACAAGTTCATATGCTTTACGTAAAAAAAAATTCTGAATTTTTAGCTGGGCATGGTGGCACACACCTTTAATTCTGGCAATCAGGAGGTAAAGGCAATCAGATCTATGAAAATTCAAGGTCAGCCTGGACTACATAGTGTTCTAGGACAGCCAAGGCTACATAGAGAGACCCGGTCTTACTCCAATCTCCACCACCACTGCCAGTAAATAAAAAAATAAAAAAATAAAAATAAATATAAATAAATAAATAAATAAATAAATAAATAAAATTTAAAAGGTGAGTTAGTGAATTTTGCTGGCCTCCAGCTTTCAGAGGTAAATGGAAGACCTTATTTACAGGTTCTTCTGAATAATCTAGTTAGGTGGGGTTTTTTGTTTTTGTTTTTGTTTTAGCATTAAGACCATCAAGAACTTTAACCCATATACTTGTTTAAAATTATAACCTTAAACATTTGCTGTCTCAGAAACTAAATGATTCTCTTGCTTTTTAAAAAAAATTTTCATATGATATATGGTGACTGTTTTTCCAGTTTTGTTTTTCCTTCTCCAGTTTCACGTCTTCCTGTACTGTCAGAGGGGTCTCTTCCTTCATGGTCAATCAGCGTCGGTCTCCCTCACCCTGGGATCATGAGAGCCACTTCTAGGCCTCTTCCGGTTTGGGTCGGGGTCTGTTTCCTAATTGGGAGGAGGCTTTCAGTGGGCGCGCCATGGCTTCCCACATATAGATTCTTAGATTGGAAAACTGGGAAGAAAACGCAGAAATAAATGAATCTCCCTACCTTGGAAAGTAGTTCTTTCAACAGATTGTGTTAGCGCTTGGAGTCACTGCTTTAACTACTAAAATTGATTAAATTAGCAGTTCTGTGTTTTGCCAAGATTTTTTTATAGGCTCTTTTCCTTCGTTCGCAACAAATTAAAACCTGGCTCGCAGGGGCGTGTAGTAGACTGGAGACATTTTTCCTCCTGTCGCTTGATGCTGATGTAGCAAGCTTTTGACAGTTTTTTAAAAGAAAGATTTAATTCTTGATTACCACTCCTCATGTGTCTTATACCAGGTCTGCAGTATGGGTGTGTGGGAGGAAACTGATATAACACGCACGAGTTTAATAAATATTTGTAATATAGAGTCTCTAAATCATTGCCTCAGGGAAGCCTATGTAGGAAATGGATTGGTTTCATCTTGAAGGCTAGATGCCTGTAATGTGTAAATACATGTATTTTATAAGTATCAAACCTAATGCAAACTGGTTTGCATTTTGAAAACAAATTTAAAACTTTAAAACGAATGTATTTAATGTGTGTGTGCATGGTCTGTGCATGTACTCCACAGTACACGGCTGGAGGTCAGGAGATCCTGTCTCTCCTTCTACTGTGGGTCCTGGGCATTGAACTCAGGGTGTCAGTCTTGGTGGCAAGCACCTTTATTGATTGAGCCACCTCACCAAACCCAAGACTTTTTTTTTTTTTAGACAGACTATCATTACGTAGTCCTCCAGGCCTTGAGTTTAAGTGGTTCTCCTGTACCCCGAGTGCTGAGAGTAAAGATACACATCACCACATCTGGCTCCCAAAACATTTAAATTCATGTATATTTTTCCATAAAGTTTAATTGCAAAACAATCATACTCACTGTTCCAAATCTAAAATCAAAAATCTCACTCTAAAATCTTGGAAAAATGAAATATTCAATCTACTAAGGCAAAAGGAACCAGCTGAATGATTAGGTTCATCGGAATACTACAATCTCAACTTCCAGTTCCAAAGAAAGGCAGATTTTTTTACTAAACCCTGAACTCATATCAGCTCCCAAAGTATGCTCTTCCTCCTTGTGTTATAATTAGAAGTGAAAATAGGACATAACTGTATATACTCACTAGAAGAGTATTTTTAGAATGATCCCAGTGCTGTTAAAAATGTATAAATAAAAGCCCCAAAGGAGATGCAGTGGAATATCTTTTTGGATGATGTCTATAAATATGATCTTTAAGATTTCTTATTTTTGACAGTTAATTTTTTTTGTAATGAATGCCTATTTCTTTTAAATGAACTAAGAACATGAAAAGAGGGCGTCTGCGTTGGCCATCCATTTGTTAAGCAGCACATTGTCTTAATGCTTATGCTGATTGTTTAGAAGGTGGCATGGGCAAGAATGAGCCACTAGCCACCCGCACGTGGTGTGATCAGAAAGCCAGTATCAGAGGGAAGATCAAACACGCTTTGGTCTTCAAAGTAATCCAGACCCTGAAAAGTCATAATTTCTGTTGAACTCTCCTCCCTCTGTGGCTAGATTGCTTTGCCTTTGAAGTGCCCACTGCAAAGAGCCAGGTGTGTAACTGCTCAGATCTTCTGAGGCTGACAACCACTTCCCTTCATGGAGAGTTTTACAGACCGATCTCAATACAGGACTGACACCGTGTCAATTGGGAGGGAAATATAAGGTGCTAAAATAAGGCAGAACAATCCGGTAAAAAGGCTGTGGCGTTGCCTCTTGATTGCTGAGGTCTCTGCAAGATTTTTTCTATAGACTGGGTGAATCCTGCAGATGAGGAAGGGGATGGAAATTGGAGCAGCCAGGATCAAAGTGATCAGCAGTGACTGAATGCTGTGGACACAGTATCCATGAGTACTTTATAGGCACACCCCAAATCTGGCTTCCTCACCTACTTTTAATTCAGCTATTGGTGTAGACACAAGTTTGCCCAAGAGTCTTAAAAAAAAAAACCCATGACAATATGAATTTGCCTGATTTACCTTTATATTGGAATAAAGAAAGAAAACTGTCAGACATGAAATCATGAATCCTGGAGACCACTGCCAAGGCAAACAGTCAGGAATTGGTTTATTAGGGCTTTGAGCCTTATTCTGTCGCAGTTCTGTATCCTTAGAAGTATCACAGCCTGGTGTAATGCCTGTAACCCTGGTGCAGGGTGAAGCAAGAAGACTGTGAGTCTGAGGGGAGTCCGGGCGATATAGTGAGACCCCCATCTCCAAAGATAGAGAAGGAAGAGGAGGAGAGGAGGGAGGGGGAAGAGGAGGAAGGGAGAGAGAGAGAGAGAGAGAGAGAGAGAGAGAGAGAGAGAGAGAGAG